CAGACTGTTTCATAATTGGGAATCCCTAATCAGCAGGCTATGAATTTCCTAAGCCCACTTTTCTTACAAGACTTTGTTATAACTTGTATAAAGATGTCAAGGTGGAAAAATACACCAGCAAACTTCACCTTCTCAAGAGAAGACTGAATCTGCTGAAGTGGGGTGGCAGCCTGGTTTTGATTCCCAAACAAGTTAAGAACGGAGCTTGTTTTTTTCTTATCCATCTTCACGAAAAGCTGAAAAGTGAGGATTGAGGTTTCAATAATCTTGATGAGATCAGGTGCATGAACCATATAATCTGATTCTTCTTCCTCTGTTCCTTTTTTAACTGGACCTGAATAGATTCATGAAGCCAAGTTGTTAAAATCACAAGCACAGAGACAACGAAATTAACAGCAGGTATTAATTCTAGTAAGCTGATAACAAATATATACGCATTTTATAGTACATAAAACTCGGCTTCTACTCTCAAGTGAATTTACAACCATAGTAGACATAAATTTTTTTATCTAAAATCTTTTGGATTTGTCACAAGAACCTTACTTTGTATATCAGGGACCCGGAGTAATTTAGGCAGATGTCTCTGCGTGCGAGCATAAATTTCAGCCCTGTGGCCCTCCTCAAAAGGTTCATTTTCAATAAACCTTTGTAATAAAACCTGGAATTGTTGAAACTGTTGAGCACTATGGTTATAACAGTTGGGATTGTCAGGTTGGCACGTGATTAGCTGGTTCAGTTGAGTGTACTGACAGTGCAGTGCCTCCCAAGACAAGCAAATTTGAGCTACATATGATGTCTCAATATCCTGATAAGGATCATTCTCTGGCTGCTGAAGATGCTCAGTCTCATCATCAGGTTCTTCAATCTTCTTCAAAGAAAGACAGCGAAAAGGGGAGGTAAGCTTCTTAGATGCAGATCTTGGTGATGGAGTTGTAGGGGTTTGGATACCTGCAGAACCTTTATTTGTGATGAAGATTTGAAGAATCTATAGGTATGCAGTAATCATGCAAATCAAGAAACAGCAAATAAACTAATGTAAGGTTGTTAGAGTTTATATGGTTATTAACAGTCCTAATCTCCAATATGGAGAGTATTATTTAGTTTGCATATTAAGTAGATGTAACTGAGGATATAAACAGATAGCTTCAGAAACATGAGCTTACTTTTACAAACTGAAATAGATGTAATTTAGTTCACATTTTGCTGAGAAATGATGTCTTATTTAAACAGCAAAACTGATATATTAGATTCAGAGGAGAAACTAATGTTGGCAAAATAAGAAACTGAAAAATTAATGATGCTCACCTGACCTCGTGCGTCTACACACAACTCAATCAAATTACTAGCATTATTGAGCTATCTACATTTGTCTGAAAATTCAACTCTCTGCCAATTATTTCAAAGATAACTAAAAGCTCAAAACAGATGCACTTCTATTTATATATATACTTATTCTAACATCCCATATAGGTTGTTGGGCACAGATAATCTTTCCTTGTTTTTCTAGTTTAGCTATGAAGGGGAAAACTTCATACGTATTTTATGTGGGTAGATTTGTATAAAGATGTTATTTCAAGCCCAAACAACCAGTCAAAAAGAAGTGAAGTCTTAAAAGTATGCTGTAATTTGAAAAAATATAAATTAGAACAAATCATTATGTTTACCAGTTTCATTAAGATGCTGCGCACTCATCCGTTCAAAGAACAACATTCTCTCGCAGTACTTGTCATATACAGCACCAAAGCCACACCACCATTGCCGGCCTTCTGCTTCTACATCCCTCCACTCGTTAGAGCTTGTCTCACCATGCTCTTCTTCTTCATCCTCTTCCGAGAATGACTCTTCTTCAGGAATCAACACCATAAAACTATTCCTTCTCAATTCTTTTAACCTCCGCTTGACCTCCTCTGTTATGAAATCATCATCATCATCCTCAGCCTCAGCTATAGAATCAGCATTAGCTGACTTACCAAAATCATCACCACTCTCCTTCCTAGGTTCCTCCGGCTGTGGCACAGGATTGTCCTCTGAAACATTTTCTGGGTCTGGTTTGTGGGCTTTTCTAAACTTTTTAACTTTGAAGAAATCCATAATCCAATCAACAACAGATAGGCTTTTCTCAATGCTTACTCCAGCAATAATAACTCCACTTTGTTCCAAGGTTTCTAAAGACTATAGGCAGTGAGATCTACCAGTAGATATGTTGTGACTTTTGAACAATAAAACCATGAAGTTATAACAGAAAAATTGGTAAACTTGCATTTCTCAAATCCATTCTGAGCCAGAATCTGATAAGTAAGAAACCCTAGATCTAAGAAGAAGATCTAACAATCCAAAACTCCTAATAAGAAAATGAGTGATCTAAACACTGAACTGGTGACAACCCAGAAACTCTAGTGAGTTCAGAACAATAAAAGTACAAACTTTTAGTCGACAACCTTAAACAAAAACATCATAGAGCTCATCAAAGTACATTTCCGTCAAGGTACTCAAGCTACAAGGCTTCAGAGAACTCAAAGTACAGATCAAGGAATCACCTTTGGTAGGCTCACCAAAACGCCAGTGAGATCAGAACCCACAAAATTGCTCAAAGATCAGCAGCAGATTTCTCCAACATTTCCAGTGCCAGGAAGTACATTACACTAGTAGCCACCTAAAAACCCCCAAATCATACAAAAACCACTACCTCCTAGGAGCTCGGTCGGTGGAAGCATACACAGTGATCAAAACCCAAAAAAAACATATATAAAAAAATTGCTCATTTCTTCACCATTCCACTGCTCAAAACCACGCCTTTAAGCTACCCTACACTGAAAAGTAAGTCCCAAAAGATCAAAAAGTGCATGAACAGCTAAAACACCGTCATGAAAAGTACCACAAAGTAAAGTCAATCTTCCAACTCCTAGAAAGTCCAACACTGAAAAATGTGAACCCTTTAAGACCCAAAAGCTAAATCACCCAAAAATTCATGAAATTCCAGAAAATCCAAGTGCATTTATTAGCTACTGAAGCCCCAAAAACACAAAACTTTCAATTATGAAGAAAAAGTAACGGTCCCAGCCAGAAACCCAGCAACCCAGATGAGCAAAATATGCAGAGAGAGAAGGGTGAACACTGTTTGGGAACAATGTAAATGCTTTGCATGTGAGCGATAAATTGTTGTGTTATACTAATTTCCCAATAAAATCAGCTTCTTTTTCCTTTTCAAATTATTTTCAATTTAATTTAATTAAAGTTTCCTATAAATGAAAGATCTTTTCTTTTTCTCTTCTTTGATTTAGTTTAATAAATGAGTCGGGATTCAGATTAATTCGCTATAAATTAATGGGTGTTTCTGAGTGTAACAATGTGTTGGGTTTTGGATTTTTCTCGGAAATGGGAAGAGCTCGAAACTCAAGAGGAACACAGAACAGTGGACAATAGCATTAGTAGTGAGTAGAGAGAGACAGTTGTGTCAGTCCTCGTACAGAGAATATTGTCATAAACACAAATTAGAAATATAAAAAAGCCGCGCAAAAGTGCGTTTGATTTGTGCATGGTGATCCAAATTACATTCTTGCCCTCCTTAAACTTCTAAAATGGCCATCATGTAAATCTTCATCCTTTTCTTTTCAATTGAATAAATATGATATGAAAGTATTTTGCAATTTGTTGTCGGTGGAAAATTGCCATCAAGTCAAATTTCACACTAAGAGCATGGTGAGTTATTCATGTGATTGACTAACCTCATGAAATATGTGCTTATTTGGTGTAGAAATATATTAAATTGGCAATCCATCGAAAATAGATCAACAAAGAAATGAAAACACATCATATTATATATTGTGTATATGTATCTATAGTTAAGATATTGGAGGAATTAAATGAAAACATTCGTTGCCTCAACATTCTCATCCAGTCGATCATATATGATGAGGTAACATTCTCATTGGTGCTATTGTATATGGCGTTGTAATCTCAAGTTCAAATCTAAGAAAAGTAGCCAATATTGAAAAACAATTGAATAAAAAGTGTCATAAATTTTGATTTTGGTTTGATGTTATGTTGTGATGATAATGAGTGCATATAGTGTGTTATGATGTATTAGTTTATTG